CGAATCCCACAACCCCCTCCCCCTCCCCCCTCCTTCCGCTCCGCACCGTCGCCAGGAGGTAGGTAGGCACGCCCACCACATGCATGCCGTGTTGTTTTTTCTTCTCTTCAGCCAGCCGCAGCGAAATGCACCATGCACCTCGTCCGTCTCCCACCCTCCCGTTTCTATTGGGCTTGCTTGGGATGCATGTCGGCATTGCTGGTTCATTGATGCTTTGCGGCGCCAGCCCGACGCAGATCGTATCGGATCAACCACCTGCATCCGTGGCGGAGGCTGGGCGGCGAAGCGGCGGCGGACGGGCGGGCGGGCAGTTTTGTTGGCAGTCCTCCTACCGAGCCCATTGTTCCCATCAGCTGTCTTCTTCCCGTCTGCGCACTGTTGCGCCCGGGTCTGGAATCGTTTGCATGCTGAGCAAAGACTGAATCTCTGGCTCCCATTGTTGGAGCAATTTAAAAAAGTTCCGGACAGGTTGTCGGCGCTTCCGTCCGTCTGATCAGGACTCGAGGCAGATTGCTGTATTTTGTGAATTCCGCCAGCCGCTTGCTCGCGCGTTGGCGCTGTCTGGCGCGTAAAAGAACGGCGCACTCGAGAGGAGAAGGGTTGGTTCAGTGCAAGCGGGTCGAGCGAGCTGATGTTCGGCTGGAGCGGAATCGCATGCAGCCCTGACGCGCTTGCCGACTCAGCGGATGTCTCATTCATGGTTTGAATAGATTCCGCACGCTGCTGCTGGTGGTCATCGCGTTGCTCGCGCTGCACCTGCTCCTGCACTTGCATGTGCACCTTTTTTTTTCTTGCACCGGCCCCTGCACCTACTCCTGCACCTGCAGCTTGGTTGTGTTCGGCGTGCTTGTGCTTGTGGATGTGGGTGTGGATGTGGATGTGCGTGCATGCTCCCCCCGTGCCCATCGTGCCTGGAGAGGGGGGCCATTGCGTGGCGTCGGCTTCGCCCTGTCGCCTGCTGGCTTGGACCTGGACCAATACGGCATTGGCTCGACTGGCGTCGTGTTCGCGGCTTCTCCGTTCCGCTGCCTTGGCGGAAGGAAGCTGGCTGAGCTCTGTTTTACCGATGCACCCAGGTCTGCTTCGTCCACCTCCTCGTTCTCCCCCGTCCGCCGTAGCGCCCTTCCCCCGACCTGGCAGCTCCGTCCTCTGTCGGCACCGCTCCCTCTCTCGCTCTGCTCACTCTGTCGACGTCAGTCATCGCCTAGCGCACCGCGCCGCCTGCCTCTCCCATCCCGACCCCCATCCTCTCGCCGCCGCCTCCCTTGCCAGTCGAGCCAGCCAGCGTCGTTGCTGGCCAGCTCTTCACCCATATCGCTCGTTCGGCGACTACAAGCCAAGCGCCAGCAACGCCCCCAACGACGCATTCGACCACCACGGCGCTTTCTTGCCCCCCATCCCTATCTCTCGTTTTTCTCATCCCACCACCACCCGTCCACCAACACCGACACCCTCATCATCCTCACCACCACCAACATCATCTCCTTTCACCCTCGACCAAGCTGCACACCCCCTGTAGCTCTTCCTGTCGATTCGATTTTCCAGTATCGGCTCCGCCACGGCCGCCCGCATCTCTCCTGGCGCCTGTTCTTGATCGCCGATACCCCGTCTCGTACCTGCGATTCCCGCTCTGCCGCTTCGCCTGGATTCGAGTCTCTCCGTAGTCGTCGGCGTCATCTCAGCGATCGACCTGGCGCAACCCATCAATCGCCGTTGCTGTCCACATCCTCGGCCATCTCCGTGCATCTAGCCTCGTAATAGCGCTCGTCATCAACTTGCGTTGCCTCCGGCGGTCAACAATCAGCTGCTCGTGCTTCATTTCGGGTGGCGTCTCCCTCACCAGCGTGCCGCTTCTTGGCCGCGCAACCAAGACACCCTCGTGCGGCGCACGCACATCTGCGCTTTTACGCTCCTCATCGCATCGAGCTGCAGCTTCCGCGCGTACATCGACTCTCCAAACTCTGTCTGGTGGAACCATCGTAAGTGCGCCAACTTCATTCGCTCTCACTCGTCTCATCGGCCTCCTCCTCGGCGGTACCTCGCTTTGCGTTGCTCTCAAGCCGCGCTTGGCGCGCTTGCCCTCCACTGGTGCCCGGACCACATTGCTGCATCCTAGCATACGCCCTCTCGCTCATGCGCAACCGGACATGTCCATGTCGCGATTTCTTGGCGACGTGAACATCGCCGGAATGAAGCTGTGTCACGCAGAGCGTGTCTGCATATGAGGTGGTTTTGCCGAGCACCTCCGCTCCTCCCTCGCTCTTCGGAAGTCGCGAGTCGGACTCTTCAGCGGGACCTGCAGCAGCATCTTCCGCATCGTTCCTCGTACGCCTCGAGTGCTTGGGACCTTGGGAGCAAGCACCCTCGTTCATAGGCAGTTCATGGCATGCTGGGCCCTGACTCGTGTGCGCATGTCAACCGTCTTGCATGCTGCTGGGACCCCACTCTCATGCTCTATCCGCTTCATTGCTTCTCTCGAAGATCTTGTTCCTCAGCAACACTTTCGACGCTTTGTACTGACGCACATCTCTCGCTTCGCCCCGTACACCTCCTGCTTCTCCGCTCTGCGCTTGCACTCCGATATCGCCCTTTCGACATCCGATTGCGCACTTCGATTTTGCGATGGCCGACGCATGCCAATCCGGCGGCATCTCACCTGGTGCCTGAATGCGCTTCTTCATTCAACTGCCATCTCTCGTGGGCTCGACATCGCATAGACGCCGAGAAGCCAAGCGCAGGAATCGCAGCCTGCAGCCTCCCATCGTCCCTGATTGGTGCAAGCTGCAAGCAGGCATTCATCTCATCCGCGCTACCGATCAAGCTCCTCTTCATTTGCTTGTTTCCCTCGGCCTGCATATACATCCTTCCTAACCTTGCTTGTTGCCCGATTCGGCCAACGCGGTCCCCACCCGTACCTTTCCAACGCTTCCAATCTTCGCAGCGTCAGCAGCGGCAAGGCGTGGGCAATCCGTTCAATCATTGCTGCCCCCCCCCGGTTCCTGAATCCCGCAGATCGATACACCGCCCCGCAGCTGCAGCGCCTCTGCCAAATAACCGCCTAGGCCCATTCCGGAGCTCCCTCGGCCGCCCATCCGCACGTGCAATCAACACGGACACGATCGAGCTCATATCGCCCTGACTGCTGGCTTTTCCGCAAAGTCTGCTCCGCGCGGCGAGGCATCGGTCCCCTCCTTCAGACAGAGGCGAGCATCTCGCGAGTGTCTTCTTTCTGACGAGGCATCGGTATATGTACGCTGTGCAAGACGACAACCGACATTTGCAGTCTCCAGTCCTCTGCCTCACCGCCGCCGCGAACACCATCTGATATTTGCCGACGATTCGTAGCCCATATACTCTGGGCCACCCGTCCGTCTGCTTTCTGCGCCTTTCCGCTTCAAGCTTGCACCCTCTCAGCAGTGCCTCTCACGCGCGTCCTGCTCCACTGCAGGAACAGTCAATGGCTGTCGCACAGCGTTACGACGGAGTCGGCCAGCACGGCTTCGGTCAGCACTACCCTTCCATGGCGCCCCCGTCATCTCTGCACAACTTCGGCTACGACCGCAGATCGCAGATGGAAGCCAATTCCGAGCCCATGTGGCCGGTCCCTCGAGTCCAGCAACCGCTGCACCAAGGCGGTCCGAACGACAGGTCCCGCGACGCGGCCGCCATCCCCAGTAGCTTTGGGCAAGGAGACTTGGCTCGCCATCAAGGTCAACAAGCAAACTACACGTACGATGGCTCGGCGCCGGCGATTCGCAATCCGGTCGTGTACAGTCAACCGGCTCAAGTGCCATGGGGCCTAGCGGGTCAATCGACGGCAGACTATCCGGAGTACCCCACGGCCTCCTTTGTGGGGTCGATGGGACAACGAACTCACCCTCCTGTTCACAACGCCTCCTCGTACCTCGGCGGTACCAACAATCCTGTTTACGGCGATCCTGCCATGCACGCTGCCGCCGATGGATACCCGAGAGTGATGAACGGTCCAACATCGAGCATGGGCGGGCCATATGATCACTCCGCCGAGACACTGTGGCCACTTGGTCCCAACTCGCTGGATGCCTTTGCTGGCATCCCCAATCCTTCCGGACAGGTGGCACGTCTCACACTCACGTCATCCAACGACAAGAACAAGCTCAAGGCAAGGTCATCCCTTCCTCCACCCAAGCAGTTCAAATGCTCGGCGTGTGATGCGATCTTTAGCAGGAACCATGACCTCAAGCGTCACGCGCGCATACATCTGGCAGTCAAGCCTTTCCCGTGCGGATACTGCGACAAGGCCTTCAGCCGTAAGGACGCGCTCAAGCGCCACGTCTTGGTCAAGGGCTGCGGCATCGGGAACAAGAAGAACGACAACCGCAAACGCGCAGCCACCTTGTCGAAACTCGAGCACAGCGGCGAAGGCAGCAACACCAGCCGAGGTCCGTACGACGCGGTCTCTTCCGAAAGCCGCCCGCACGACTTGAGCAACTTCCGCGACGGCCTGCATTACCAAGGCCATCAGCAGCAGGAAGAGCAGCGACAGCCAGGCCGGGCAGACCAGTCTTGGCCATCCGGTCTGTCAGAAGGCACCACCGCTTCGCCCAACATCAACGCCGGCTATAGCTCCGGCCGCGCGGGTGGGGGCGAAGATCGGTTGCCAGCTTCGCACGGTGGCCCGCCAGCACATGCTGGGACGATGCCGCCGTACGGCTCGCAATCCCAAGGTCAGCAGTACCCGGGCTACGGCATGGGTGACCATGCCTTTCACCAGCAGCAGCAGCAGCAGCAGCAGCAGC